TTTCTATGTGTAGTGCCTCTTTCAGGGGCTCTTGTAAAGCAGGCCTGGTGGTGACAAAATCTCTGAGTACTTGCTTGTTCACAAAGGATTTTATTTTTCCTTCACTTCTGAAGCTCAGTTTGGCTGAATATGAAATTCTGGGTTGAAAGTTCTTTTCTTTAAGAATGTTGAATATTGGCCCCCACTCTCTTCTGGCTTGTAGTGTTTCTGCCGAGAGATCTGCTGTGAGTCTGATGGGCTTCCCTTCGTGAGTGACCCAACCTTTCTCTCTGGCTGCCCTTAGTATTTTCTCCTTTATTTCAACCCTGTTGAATCTGACGATTATGTGCCTTGGGGTTGCTCTTCTTGCGGAATATCTTTGTGGTGTTCTTTGTATTTCCTGCATTTGAGTGTTGGCCTGTCTTGCTAGGTGGAAGAAATTTTCCTGGATGATGTCCTGAAGAGTATTTTCCAGCTTGGATTCATTCTCTTCGTCACATTCTAGTACACCTATCAAACGTAGGTTAGGTCTTTTCACATAGTCCCACATTTCTTGGAGACTTTGTTCATTCCTTTTTGCGCTTTTTTCTCTGATCTTGGTTTCTCGTTTTATTTCGTTGAGTTGATCTTTGACTTCAGATATTCTTTCTTCTGCTTGGTCAATTCGGCTATTGAAACTTGTGCATGCTTCGTGAAGTTCTCGTATTGTGTTTTTCAGCTTCTTTAGTTCATTCATATTCCTCTGTAAGTTATCCATTCTTGTTATCATTTCCTCAAATCTTTTTTCATATCTTTTTTCAAGGTTCTTAGTTTCTTTGCATTGATTTAATACATGTTCTTTTAGCTCACAAAAGTTTCTCATTATCCACCTTCTGAAGTCTAATTCCGTCATTTCATCACAGTCATTCTCCGTCCAGCTTTGTTCCCTTGCTGGTGAGGAGTTTTGGTCCTTTCTAGGAGGTGAGGTGTTCTAGTTTCGGGTGTTTTCCTCCTTTATGCGCTGGTTTCTTCCCATCTTTGTGGATTTATCCACCTGTCATCAGTGTAGTTGCTGACTTTTCGATTGGGTCTCTTAGTGGACACCCAGATTGTTGGTGATGAAGTATTTCTGTTACTTGGTTTTCCTTCTACCAGTCTAGCCCCTTCACTGTATGACTGCTGAGGTCCACTCCAGGCCCTGCTTGTCTGGGGTGCACCTGTAGCGGCTGCAGAACAGTGAGGGATGCTACCAGTTTCTTTTTCTGCTATCTTTGTCCCAGGATGATGCCTGCTAAATGTCAGTTCTTTGGATATAGAGGGGTCAGGGAGCTGCTTGAGGAAACAGTCTGTACTTTTTAGGAGCTCAATTTCTGAGCTGTGAGCTCTGTTGTTCATTCAGGGCTGTTAGGTTGCTATGTTTAATTCTGCTGCATCAGAGCTCATTAAAAGACCCTTTTTTTCTCAGATGCTTTGTCTTGGAGGGTTGGGGCTTTATTTTTGGATGTCCGCCGTGCTGTCCTGCCCAGCTAGGAAGCAGTCTAGTCACTATTTGCCTGCAGAGGTTCCGCCCTGCTGTTGTGAGGTTCGCCCTGTTGCTGCAGGCTCTGCTCTTCTGCTGCCGGTTCTGCCCTGCTGCCACGGGCTATGCCCTACGGCAGAGTCTCTCTGTTGTATCGGGTTGCCTCGGCAATGGCAGGCTGCGTCAGCAGTGGGCATGTATCTCAGTAGGTGCGGATTGCCTCGGTAATGGTGAACACCCCTCCCCCACGGAGCGTCTCAAGGAACGTCTTTACTGGGAGCATTTGGAATCGCCGTTTTGTCCGTCCCACTGCACTACCCCAAACGCTGTGTCCCTGCAATCCCCTGGGCTGGCCCACTGTCCAGGCCCCATTCAGTCTTAAGTTCAGCCCTCTCAAGTCTCAGGTTGCCAGTTCAACAGGGCACCTGGACAAGCGTACCCTGTGCGGAGCGCTGTGTAGGGCTGGCCGCCACCACCCCGGCTGCCGGCTGCACCAGACAAAACCTCTGCCTGGCGTCCTGCATCTCCTTTATACCTGGGAATTTCCCCGTTCTGTGGGTAACAAAAATCAGTCTGTAAATGCAGCTCTGACTCACCTCTCCACGCATTCACCAAGAGCTTCAATCCTGGGTTGTTCTCACAGCCCCATCTTGAGTCCTCCCCCCGATTTTTGTCAATACTGCAGAGGTGTAACTAGAACTAGTGTTATCGTGCCCAACATAAAAGAAAACCAAATTAACATTATCTTCTCCCTATGATATGGTTTCCGGTATCATATTACTCCAGTTTTTCTAAGTAGCCGATTCATAGAAGCCAGGGGAGAAAGCTGGGGTGCTGCTACTCACCCTCCAGTGGGGGCTGTGTGTACAGCCCCTAGCCAGTGGGTTCATAATATCCAGGGGGGCTGGAGTAATATTACTCTCCCTCTGATGGGGTTGTGGGCACAGCCCCTTAGCCAGAGGGTTCATAATATCCATGGGAGGCTGGAGGGATATAACTCACCCTCTGGCGGTGGCTTGCACTGGGTGTATACTTTACAGAGATATGTCACCTAATATTGACGTTGCGTGGCTGTGGTTGTATATTTTAAAGAGATATTACTCCTAATATCTTAGTTGTTGTACAGTATGTTTCAACACTTTTTTATCTTGTTTGTGATATTCAGCATGTCATTACTCGTAATATCAAAGTATGTGTAAAGTATTTTTGTACACCCTGTGATATTATTCATATCTCAGGGAGAGATACTATGAGTCACAGGTATGGCCACTCCTCTGTGATATAGTTCATAATATTCAGAAGGAACCCGGGTGATATTACTCGCCCTATGGCAGGAGGATAATGTGGGTGTACATTTTAAAGAGATTGCTCCGAATATCACCGTCTGGTTGATATGGGTGTATATTTTAAAGAGATATTACTCCTAATGCCGTAGCTGATGTAGAGTATGTTTAACCACTTTGTGATATTATTTGTAATATCATAGAGAGAAATATTACTTGAAATATCAAAGAGAAAGAAATAAAGTTACTCCAGAGGACCCTTCAGCCGTGTGCTCACCCCACTCTCCCACCTTGCATCTTTAGGGTGCACCCAGGCTCCTCAGGGAACTTCAGGTGAGTAGAGAGGCCCGACCCGAGGATTTCTCAGTCAAGCAAAGCAGATGAGTACATGAATCATTGTAATTTTGTACTGAAAATCTATAATAGGTACACACAGTATGTCCATGAAGTGCCAGAGAGGAAAAGACAAACCCTGCCTGGAGAAGTGGGGGATGCTGAGCAGGGAGTTGACATTTAAATAAGTTTTGATGAATGCTCAGGGTAGAAAAGAAAACAAGAATTATAGGGTAAAAAAATCACGTTAAACACACAAGAACACATGGGAGAACATGATTTTTGAGAAATCTGAGTGGGTGGGTATGACTAAAAGCTAAAGGGTCCCGAATGTAGGTTAGGAGGAAACAGAAGACGAAGAGGGAAAATGAATTCTGATGGCAAATGTCTCTGTAGAAAGGTCTATGGGGTTAGGTCTTCTCTTGCAGACAATGTGGAGACCTTGGATATTTTTCATAATCAGCTGTTTTGGAAAGACCTTTTTTAGAATACTCTGACAAGCATTGTCTGTATCAAGGCCTTCTGTGCACATGTGTTTCTTACTAATTTGTAAACTCTTTCAAGTCAAGGCTGCACCTGTCTTAGTTTTCCTTTCCTGTAACTTTTCAATATACTTTTTATAGTTACATTAGGTTGGACTGAATTGAAACCACAAAATACTATAAAATGATGGAACAGAATAGGTATATTTATATTAAAGACAGATTTAAGACAAATAAAATATTAGTTTACATATTCTATTATGGAAATTAAACAAGGATTTATTCATTCTAATGCCTCATAGGTACATGCTTTTTAGAACATCATACTTAGGCATTCAAAAACAACCGGAATTTGAAGGTGTGTTCTTATGTGATAATTTTATGTGTCGACTTCACTGGGCCATGAGAGGCTCAGATGTCTGTTAAAGCATAATTTCTGGGTGAGTCTATGAGGATGTTTCTGGAGGAGATGAGCGTTTGAATCAGTGGACTGAGTGAAGATCATGGGCTGGTCTCATCCAATGTTCTGCAGGCCAGAAGAGAGCAGGTGGAGGAAGATTGAATTCCCTCTCTGCCCGAAAATGGGGCTGGAACACCAGTTTTCTCTTGCCCTTGACTTTCCAGCTCTCAGGCCTTTGAACGAAGCCATGGGCTTTCCTGGATCTTCACCTTGCAGATGCAAGGCTGTGGGACTTCAGAGCTTTCACAGTTACTTGAGCAGTACCTCACAGTAAATCTCACTGGAGCTCTTTCTCCAGTCTTCAGACAGAAGGCTCTCTGTTAGGCACAAGAGCAAGCTGTCTGAGCCTTGCTATTTGAGCTGAAAAGGGCCTTATGAGAGACAGTCTATGTTACAGAGTTTACATTTCATGTTCAAGAACAGGCCATGTGTCTTCTTCCTTGTTACCCTAACTCTCAATTTCAGGAATCTGTACATTACTCTCAGGGCTTCGTGGTCTTTTGGGGGACAGCAAAGCTGCAAAATGAGCACAGAATTACTTTAGTATATTATAGAAAAAATACAGAAGAAGATGCTTTATAAGAGCAGAGTATAAAACTCATACAGTTTGGCAATTTTCAAAGAAACCTGCAGAATTAAACTTGTAGTGTAATCCTCCTCAAGGGGCTCAACAAAACCTTGGAAACATAAATGAAGTGGAATTGCACATGTGACATTTTTAGTAAATTTAAAAAAAAAAAGAAAAAGGAAAAAAACTTCATTAAATAAAATACCTTAAAAAGCCAAGAAACTAACTGCAAGTCCCACAAAGACATTGGGCAATGATTCTGTATGATTTCAGGAGTGCTGATAAATAATGTCTTAATGTAGTAAAATCTAATAAGAAGTACATGTAATCTCTTACCTTTAGTGTTTATTTTACTAGACATTCCAGGAGGACAGTAGCAACTAGTTGAGGTCTAGAAAGAAAACGAAGAAATGTTACAGTAACCAGTACAATGGCGGTCTCATAGCTAGTAAAATGGTCAAGATATGACTAGGGATTTTTCCTAAAGGCATTCACAGAGTCATCCTGTAATGTAACAATGATTCCTATCATTGTAAACAAAAACTCGGACTTTTCCTTCCCGTGACTGACAAGTAATTATATAAAAAGTAAATTACTTCTTTCATAATGAAAAAATTAACACTAGTGTACTTTCTTCGGCCACTAAAATTCTGCAGAAACCCAGATATAATAAGAAACTCAATTATCCGACCAGGTGTGGTGGCTCACACCTATAATCCCAGCACTTTGGGAGGCCAAGGTGGGTGGGTCACATGAGGTCAGGAGTTTGAGACCAGCCTGACCAACTTGATGAAACCCAGTCTCTACTAAAAATACATAAATTAGCTGGATGTGGTGGTTCATGCCTGTGATCCCAGCTACTTGGGAGGTGAGGCAGGAGAATCACTTGAACCTGAAAAACCAAGGTTGCAGTGAGCTGAGATTGCACCACTACACTTCAGACTGGGAAATAGAGCAAAACTTCATCTCTCTCTATAGATGGATAGATAGATTAGATAGATAGATAGAGATATAGATACACACACACACACACACACACACACATACACACACACACACACATCTCACCTCTTGACCTGTGATCAAAGTTACTTCTAAACTCAATTGAAGGCACTATATATCACAAGCCAGATGGCAAGAAATTAAATAAATTTTAGTCTTTTTACGCTATTCCAATTACATCTTGGTCAGGTTACAAACATGTTTCAGCAAATGTTGGAGGAGTTTTTCTCCCTCTTTAGGAGTCCTGTTTCACTTTATGCTCCCTAACAAAAGACCTCACACATTTAGAAAGAAGATGGAGATAGGCCAGGTTCAGGACATGCTGCACAAGTAGAACCAACTGTCCCAAAAAGAGAGGGCTCTACACCACTCTGAGAACTTCACAACTGTCCAGCTACACACAAATGCCTGAAGTATGGAAGTCCATCTAGAAAATGAACAATTAGTGATATCAAAACTTCTGACCCAAACGGCCTGCAGCTGGTGTGACCATTCATCAAAAAATCTGACTTTAAATGGAGACACATTGGACTTTGACATGTAATAAAAGAACTGAAGCAGCAAAGTGCCTTGATTTGGGTTTCCTTTCCATCTTACCCAGCTCCAGCCAGTAAAGAAGTGAGCATGCCTGTGGTGCTCCTGACACATTTGGGGTAGTTCTCATTCACAGTGGTCAACCTTTGGGATTTTCCCACACATTTTAGGGTCATGATTCATCTATGTTAACCTATAATGTGCAGATAAAAGCTCCTGTTTAGAGACTGGTGAGAAAATTGTCAAATCTGAAAGCCCACGAACTGTATCAGCCGGGGAGAACACATGTAGGAAAGACTACAGAATGTGATGTCAAAAGCCTAATTTAAGGTAGACCTTTACAGCTTTACAATTGTGAGTAATTAACTTACTTTCTCTAGGCTCTGTTATTCTCATATAATTCACGAGAAAGGTAGGCTGAATAGTCTCCCAGATCAATTCCAATCTTAACATCCTCTGGCTTTATGATTAAAGAATGATACTAATATGACTGAAATTGTGACTTGGCCCCAGTAGGAGCCTGCTGGGATCATGCTAGGCAAAACTAGTCCACACAGACAGAGCCATTCTCACCACATCCCTCCCTATGCCAGCTATCATACAGATACGCACCACTGGTAGGAGAAGTCCCTTCTACAGAAGACATTGACTGACTCAATAATAGGCTGATTTATTCATTCAACCAACAAGTCTTCACTGAGCACCTTCTAGGTATTTAGGGATACAACAAAACAAAACAGACAAAATGCCTTCCCTTATGGAGTTTACATTTTAGTGAAGGACAAGGGGGAGTCAGACATCAAATAGAAAATATAAATTAAGGATATATTTTATGCAGAGCAGTGTTGGGATTCACTCAGGGTGGCTGTCAAAATATTAAGGGAAATATTAGGGAAGTTATAGATTATAGTATCAAACCTTTTTGGAAAGCCAAAATGTTTTAATGAGCCGGGTTGAAGACAGCCAGTTCTTACCTTAGAGCTTTAAGTCACAAGGTGGAAATTAAGATAATAAAAGCTTCCCCAGTTAAATCTGTTTGCCCGACATTCCTTTGTCTCTACTCTGTTTACTCATATAAACTTTGTGCTAGATGGCCCTCCCAGGGGAGGTTGAAAAAGAATTACTAGGTAATGGTGTTTATTCTGGTCCTCAGAACCAAAGGTTTTTATGATTCGCAAATCCACTCCATTATCCATCTTTATTCACAACCATGTTGACTTAAAACCTGTTATTAAATCTATACTGAATAAATGCAAGAAGAAACAAGAGTTGTAGTCAATTAGCTGCAATCACCCTCTAAAAGCAGCTGAGGACCCCTTAGCCCAACTCTTGCACTGTATTCTGTAAGTAAGAGAGTAGTTCATTCATCCATTGCTCAGACAAGGTCTGCAGGACAGAGCTCCACAGGTAGTGAGCAAAGTCTCAGCGCAGCCTGGAAGCCCTTGATAAAGTGACTTTTGAACCACAATCCAAAGCAGTGAAAGAGTGAGCCAAGCAGAGAGTAGAGGAAGAATGTTCCAGGCAGAGGAAGCAGCAAGGCCCAGAAACAGGACAGGATCAAGCCTGTCTAGCATGCTAATAGAAACAACATGAGCTCAGTGTTTATAAATAGGAGTAAGAGCAGGAGAGTAGCAGGAAGAACAGTGAGACAGGTAGCAGGGGCCAGGTCATGTACAAAAGAAAGCCACTGGAGAGTCTGAACAGAGACGTAATTATGATCTTGATTCCACTGTGAAAGGATTGTACTAGCTGTTGTATTGAGGGTAGAGTGGCCAGGCACGGTGGCTCACTCCTGTAATCCCAACACTTTGGGAGGCCAAGGCAGGTGGATCACTTGAGGACAAGAGTTCAAGACCAGCCTGGCCAACATGATGAAACCCTGTCTCTACTAAAAATACAAAAACTTAGCTGGGCATGGTGGCTCATGCCTGTAATCCCAGCTACTAGGAAGGCTGAGGCAGGAGAGTTGCTGGAACTCAGGAGGCAGAAGTTACAGTGAGCCTGGATCATGGCATTGCACTCCAGACTTGGTGACAAAGCAAGACTCCATCTGAAAAAAAAGAGAGAGAAAGAAAGTAGACTGAAGAAGGCAAACATAGAAACAAAAAAGCTAGTTAGAAGACTACTGAGAATCCAGGTTAGAGATTCTTTATATATATTTAACTTAAGTCATTCAAGAAGGGCAGCACAAACTGAGGATTGCAGGCCATCTCCAGGGCCAGGAAAGGGATTCTCCTGCAGAGCCTCAGAAGGCACTGGCCCTGCTCCCCCGTTGATTCAGTAAGACTGACTTTAGAATTCTGGCCTTCAGAACTGTAAGGGCAGACATCTGTTTTGTCTCAAGCCACTAAGTGTGCGGTAATTTGTTGCAGCAGCAACAGAAAATTAGTGTTGTAGTGAAGCCTCAAAACCCACCTGAAGGGGCCGGGTATGGTGGCTCATGCCTGTAATCCCAGCACTTTGGGAGGCCAAAATGGGCAGCTCACTTGAGGTCAGGAGTTTGAAAATCCATCTCTATAAAAAATACAAAAATTTTCAGGGCAAAAGTAGGAGTTAGTTTCTCGGCTAGCTGGGAGGGAGGGATGAACTCCACTGGGAGGTTAGTTTCTCAGTTAGCTGGGAGGGAGGGATGAACAGGTGGAACACAGAGGATTTTTAGGGCCATGAAACCACTCTGCATGATGCTGTAATGGTGGATAGACATCATTATACTTGAATGTAAATGATGGGATCTGGGTGACAAGAATGTCTACTAAGCCTTATTGATTGTCACAAATGCTGTGCTTTGTCGGGGATGTTGATGGTGGGGAGGCTGTGTGAGAGGAGGAGGTAACAGGAACTTAATTAATTTTAACTCTCCACTTAATTTTACAGTTCTAAAAAAGTATATTTAAAAGAAAAAAATGCATTTAAAAAGTTGCTGATTTATGACAAGTGTGCTTTCTTGATCATTTCTAGTATTTCTTCTAAAAGGCAACTGAGAAATAAGTGAAAGCTGAAAAATCTCTCCAGGACTGCACTTCACTGAACCATTTAGTGAACAAAAAACAGAGGTCAAGGGTAAAATTCAGATAACAAGGACTAGAAGAAGCATCCCAGCAAGAAGGTTCAGGGGTGCAGCTACCAGCCAGTATCCCTGAAGGTATCCCTACAGGAGAGTTGCAAGTTGAATTCTGAGTGCAATGGTATTTGAAAGTGTCCAACACTGAGGGAAAGAAAGACAAGAGACAACTTCACAGCTGAGGACATGGAGTTCCTGAGACATCAAAGGTTGCACGCAGCTGGTGTTGGAGGCAGACCCTGGAGGAGCTAGGGAAAACAAACAGGAGATGGCAGGTCCAGTCTGACTCCTGGGCCTGGGTGGCCTAGAGGGACCTGGGTGTTCTTCAAAAACCTCCCTCTTTTTATGAGACTGAAGTGTTAGGGGTGTCCTGTGTAAAAAAACTGTGAGGTCCCTGGGAACTCTAGGATCAGGGCCAGCTTCCCATAGCAATTACCTAGCAAGGCAGCTCTGGTGTCTTTCCTAGAAACTCCTGTTGAAGACTGGTCTGAGCCCATCCACCAAGGCCACTGGTGGTGCCTGGTATTCACCTCAGGGGTGTGTTCTTTTTCTTTCTTTTTTTTTTTCTTTTTTGCTTTTTTTCTCTATTTTTGTCATAAGTCTCAGTCTTTTTAAGATATGATTGGCATATAAAAAGTTGTACTGGTTAGTCCTGTTACTGCTTCTCCAGCACTGTCTTTTCCCATGGAAGAGTTTTTCAAAATCAGCTGACTCACTGTATAAATGCATGCCCCAACCCCATGCCATCCAAATAAAGAAGACTGTGACCACACTGCCTTTCAATTGTCTTCTTCTGCAGATCCAGCTTTTCAGCTCTTTCTTGCTCTGTGGTTCTGCAGGAGACATAATCAGAATTCCTGGTGGCAGAGAGTTGGCCAGAACAGAGGAATGTAGGAGGCAGGTTAGTGTTGGGAGAAAGTGATCAGTTGCCATAAAGAGATATTACTCCTAATGTCGTAGCCGATGTAGAGTATGTTTGAACACTTTGTGATATTATTTTGTAATATCTTAGGGAGAGATATTACTCATAATATTAAAGAAAGAGAAACAAGGTTGCTCCTGAGGCCCCTTCACCTGTGCGCTGACCCCACTCTACCACCTCACATCTTGTGTACACAGGGTGTACACAAATACTGATTAGAAATTGGATCTTATGTTAGATTTGACCCAAGAATTGAGATTCACAGGACAATCTCTGCAGGCCATTTTTGCTGTGAAGTCTGAGATGAAATAAAGATTACTGGACAAAGAAAAATTGAAAATGCCTGATAACGCAGCCCATTTGGAAGATGCAGTTTGGAGATCCCTAGAAACCAGATGATGAAAAGCATGGCTCCTCAGGCAAGGCGCTTCTTCCACAGCTGCTGTGGCCCTGGCTGGCTGTCGTCGATTACCTGAGCAGACTGCAGTGACCTCACACCCCTCCCTAACACCAGTGTGACCCCACCCAGACTCCCACAACCTCAGACTTGGATTGGGGGTGGGGGAGGTTAGGGTAACAGGGAAGAAGACACATGGCCTGTTCTTGAACACTGAGTGTGAACTCTGTAAGACTGTCTCTCATAAGGCCCTTTTCAGCTCAAACAGCAAGGCTCAGAAGCTTGCACTTGTGCCTAACAGAGAGCCTTCTATCTGAAGACTGGAGAAAGAGCTCCAGTGAGATTTACTGTGAGGTACTGGCTCAAGTAACTGTGAAAGCTCTGAAGTCCCACAGCCTTGCATCTGCAAAGTGAAGATCCAGGAAAGCCCATGGCTTCGTTCAAAGGCCTGAGAGCTGGAAAGTCAAGGGCAAGAGAAAACTAGTGTTCCAGCCCCATTTTCGGGCAGAGAGGGAATTCAATCTTCCTCCACCTGTTGCTCTCCTCTGGCCTGCAGAACACTGGACAAGGCCAGCCCATGATCTTCACTCAGTCCACTGATTCAAACGCTCATCTCCTCCAGAAACATCCTCATAGACTCACCCAGAAATTATGCTTTAACAGACATCTGAGCCTCTCATGGCCCAGTGAAGTCGACACATAAAATTATCACATAAGAACACACCTTCAAATTCCGGTTGTTTTTGAATGCCTAAGTATGATGTTCTAAAAAGCATGTACCTATGAGGCATTAGAATGAATAAATCCTTGTTTAATTTCCATAATAGAATATGTAAACTAATATTTTATTTGTCTTAAATCTGTCTTTAATATAAATATACCTATTCTGTTCCATCATTTTATAGTATTTTGTGGTTTCAATTCAGTCCAACCTAATGTAACTATAAAAAGTATATTGAAAAGTTACAGGAAAGGAAAACTAAGACAGGTGCAGCCTTGACTTGAAAGAGTTTACAAATTAGTAAGAAACACATGTGCACAGAAGGCCTTGATACAGACAATGCTTGTCAGAGTATTCTAAAAAAGGTCTTTCCAAAACAGCTGATTATGAAAAATATCCAAGGTCTCCACATTGTCTGCAAGAGAAGACCTAACCCCATAGACCTTTCTACAGAGACATTTGCCATCAGAATTCATTTTCCCTCTTCGTCTTCTGTTTCCTCCTAACCTACATTCGGGACCCTTTAGCTTTTAGTCATACCCACCCACTCAGATTTCTCAAAAATCATGTTCTCCCATGTGTTCTTGTGTGTTTAACGTGATTTTTTTACCCTAGAATTCTTGTTTTCTTTTCTACCCTGAGCATTCATCAAAACTTATTTAAATGTCAACTCCCTGCTCAGCATCCCCCACTTCTCCAGGCAGGGTTTGTCTTTTCCTCTCTGGCACTTCATGGACATACTGTGTGTACCTATTATAGATTTTCAGTACAAAATTACAATGATTCATGTACTCATCTGCTTTGCTTGACTGAGAAATCCTCGGGCCGGGCCTCTCTACTCACCTGAAGTTCCCCGAGGAGCCTGGGTGCACCTTAAAGATGCGAGGTGGGAGAGTGGGGTGAGCACACGGCTGAAGGGGCCTCAGGAGCAGCCTTGTTTCTCTCTCTTTGATATTATAAGTAATATTTCTCCCTATTATATAACAAATAATATCACAAACTGTTCAAACATGCTCTACATCGGCTATGACATTAGGAGTAATATCTCTTTAAAATATACACCCATATCAACCAGACGGTGATATTCGGAGTAATATCTCTTTAAAATGTACACCCACATTAACCACCCACCATAGGGTGAGTAATATTACCCGGGTTCCCCCTGAATATTACAAACCATATCACAGAGGAGTGGCCATACCTGTGACTCATAGTATCTCTCCCTGAGATATTATGAATAATAATATCAGAGGGTGTACACAAATACTTTATATTTATATATATATAAAGTACAAAATACATACTTTGATATTAAGAGTAATGACATATACTGAATATCACAAGATAAAAAAAGTGTTGAAACATACTCTACAACAACTAAGATATTAGGAGTAATATCTCTTTAAAACATACAACCACACTCACGCAACGTCGATATTAGGCGACATATCTCTTTAAAGTATACACCCAGAGCAAGCCGCCACCAGAGGGTGAGTTATATCCCTCCAGCCTCCCGTGGATATTATGAACCCTCTGGCTAAGGGGCCGTGCCCACAACCCCGTCAGAGGGAGAGTAATATTCCTCCAGCCCCCCTGGATATTATGGACCCGCTGGCTAGGGGGCTGTACACAGCCCCCACCAGAGGGCGAGTAATATCACTGCAGCCCCCATTGTATACTACAAACCCTCTGGCTAGGGGACTGTGTCCACAGCCCCCACCACATGGCGAGTAGCAGCACCCTGGCCCCCTCCCCCGGCTGCTACAAATCGGCTATTTAGATAAATTAGAATAATATAATACTGGGAACCATATCATAGGGAGAAGATAATGTTAATTTGGTTTTCTTTTATATTGGGCACAGTAACACTAGATCTGCAATACTGACAAAAATATCATCCTCGCCCCTTTACACATTAGAATTGAAATCACAGGGGGGGGTTCACTCCTTGCAATATTTAATTCTATATAATTATTTTTTCTGTGGACATTAGTTACCATATAAGAGCTTGGTGTACACCTCTTGCCATATTGAGAGTATTACCATATGGGCAGTAACATCATCCTCTCCTTCCCTGGATATTAAGAACAATATCACAGTACAGGTGTACAACCTCAACCACATTGTAATATTATCTCTCATTCCCTAGATGTAAGAAACAATATCACTGGGGGTTTGTGCACTTCCTGTGGATAGTTGGAGAATATTTGGAGTAAAATCCTCTCCGGTTTTGGATATTAGAAACGATATTACAGTGGTGGTGTACACTTCCTGCGATATCCAGTGTATAATCATCCCCTCTCCCCAGGATATTAGGAACTGTATCACAGAAGCGTTCCAATATCACCGCCTGTGATATTGGAACAATCACAGGGTGTACACTTGCCTTCACAATGAAAGTAATATCTACTTA